ATGAACGATTCTATATTCTCTGGAAGATCATTCACATATATCAGAAACAGTATAGGTCCAAGGACAAAACCCAGCGGGACTCCACTGGTAATGGGTCGCCAATCTGAGACCTCCCCCTCACAGTGACGCATTGTCTTCTGTTGCTTAGGTACTCCCTTATCCAATGAAGTACCTTCCCTTTCACTCCTACCTGCATCTATAACTTTTTCGCTAGCTTCCTCTGTGGTAATGAGTCAAAGGCTTTCTGGCAATCCAAATATGCAGCCTGCCCACCCCTCACTTTCTTGCCTGACTTTTGTTGCCTGGTCATAGAATTCAATTAATCCTATGAGGCAGGACTTGCCTCATAGGATTAATATAAACCCTGAACCCATGTTGATGCTTTGTTACAAAATTCTTTCGCTCCAGATGTTCCACTAGCTTTCTTCGCACAATCTTCTCCAACTTGCATGGTATGCAAGTTAGAGGACACTGGCCTGTAGTTCAGTGCCTCCTGTCTATCCCCCTTCTTGTATATATGGAGAACATTAGCCGTCTTCCAAATTTTGGCCAGTTTCCCTGTTACCAAGGATTTATTATACACCATAGAGAGTGGCAGGTACAGTGCTTCCACTCCTTCCTTCAGTATCTAAGGGGAGATTCCATTTGGGCCGATAGCCTTTGACACATCCAAATCTAGCAACAGTTTCCTTACTTCCCCGCTGATAATCTCAAACTCTTCTAGTGGGTCCTGGTTAACTATTCCTTCTCTTATCTCTGGATCTTCTCCTTGCTCTAATGTGAAGACCTGGAAATTCTTATTCAGTTCCTTGCACACTTCCTTGTCATTTGTGGTGAATCTGTCTGCCCCTATTTTCAATTTCATTACCTGTTCCTTTACTGTTGTTTTTCTCTTGATGTGACTGTGCAGCAATTTAGGCTGAGTCTTTGCCTTGCTTGCGATGTCATTTTTGTATTGCCTTTCTTCCTCTCCTCTCATCCTGACATATTCATTCCTGGCACTCTGGTATCTTTCTTTGCTCTCAAGTTTCCAGTTATTTCTATAGTTTCTCCACACCCTTTTACTTTTCTGCTTGGCTAGCCTGCATCTCTGATTAAACTATGGGTTTTTCATCTTTATTTCATTGTTTTCCTTCTGATCCGGGACAAACTTGTCTGTGGCCTCCTTATACTTCTGCGTGATGTAGTCCATCATGTCTTGGGCCGTCTTTTCCCTGAGCTCTGTTTCCCATGTTATATGTGTTAGGAATTTTCTTATCTCCTCATAGTTTCCTTTTTGGAATGCCAGCCTTTTGTTTTCAGTTCCCCTCCTCGAGTTCATTAACCCTTCTTCAACCAGATACTCAAAAGTCAGTACACTGTGGTCGATCATTCCTACTGGGGCCTCGAAACCGATTTCCTTTATGTCGGAGTCGTTCAGAGTGAAGACTAGGTCATGTCTCGCTGGTTCATCGTTTCCTCTCCTTCTTGTGGGTTCCCTGACATGCAGGCTTAAAAAAATTCTTATCGCCACCTCCAATAGATTAGTCCTCCATGTATCTTCACCTCCATGCGGTTCCTTGTTTTTCCAGTCTATCCTTCCGTGATTGAAGTCCCTCATGATGAGCAGATGAGATCTATTTCAACAAGCAGCAGTGGCTACTCTCTCAATTATAGTGTTAACTGCCACGTTGTTGTTGTCATACTCTTGCCTGGGTCTTCTGCCGTTTGATAGAGGGTTATATATCACTACTACTCTTGGTCCTCCTATTGTTATGGTGCCTGTTATGTACTCTCTGAATCCCTCGCATCCTGGGATAACCATCTCCTTGGAACTCCATTCCTTTCTCATTAGTAGGGCCACTCCACCTCCTCCCCTTCCTTCCCCCCTGTTTCCTTATTGCAGTGTAGTCCTGGGGAAACACAGCATTTGTTTTGATTCTGAGAGTTTTGTTTCTTTGAGTCCGATTACAACTGGGTTCATTTCTTGCGTTCTTTCCCTTAGTTCACTTGTCTTCCTTGTAATCCCGTCTATGTTCGAGTACATCACCCTGAAACTGACTCTTCTGTCCTTTCAAATATTCTCTTGGTTCCCCTGAAGCAGGGAAACAGAGAGGGTCTGGGATGGGAGGTCTGAGGAAGAGGGACCTGGAGGATCTGGGATGTACAGGGGTTGGGAGGATCTGGTACGAGGAGGGAGGTGAAGGAGGGAGGGCCTGGGGGTGGGTGAGAAGAGAGAGAGCTTGGGGGTTAGGGAGAGGGGGAAGGGGAGGCTTGAGAGTACCGGAGGAGGGAGGGAGTGAGGGGATGGGGGAGAAGGGGGGCTTGGGAGGTCTTAAGAGGGAGGGTTTGGGGGTGTGGGAGGGAGGGCTGAGCGGAGGTGAGGAAGAGGGGAGGACTTAAGGAAGTGAGGAGTAGGGAGGGTTTAGGGGGGGGAGAGGAAGGCTTGGGGGAGAAGGGAGGGCTTGGGGGAGGGAATGGGGGAGAGGGGCTTGGGGGAGATGTCCTGGGGAGGGAGGGCTTGGGGGAGAAGGAAAGGCTTGCCCTAGGTGGGGGTGGGTGTGGAGTGTGTGTGGTGTGTGTGTGTCCTGTGTGGTGTGTGTGGGAGGGGTGTTGGGGGGGAGGGTGCCCTGACACACACACCTAGGTGCCCTAGGTGGGCACCTAGGTGTGTGTGTGTGTGTGTAAAACAGATGCACAAAGATGATGAGGATTAAGACAGAGGATTGTAGTATGAGATTACACGATGACCCAGACAAATGGAAAGAATTGTGCTACAAATAGCTACTGAAGTGCAGCCCAAGAAAATGTAAGGTTGTGCAACTACGCAGAGGAAATAGAAGGCCAAACACATAATACCGAATGGGAGATGAAGTCCTTCAAGAAACAGAGAAGGATCTAGGAGTTGATATCACGCCAAACCTGTCTCCTGAAAGCTACATCAAAAGAATAACATCAGCGGCGTATGCGAGGCTGGCTATCGGAACTGCCTTCAGAATCCAGTGTAAGGAATCATTCAAAACCCTTGTATACCACGTATGTAAAATCAATCCTGGAGTATGCGACCCCAGCATGGAGCCCGTACCTTGTCAAGCACAAGACAAGGTACCACCTTCTCCACCTGTCCTCTCCTATACCACCTTCTCCACCTGTCCTCTCCTATACCACCTTCTCCACCTGTCCTCTCCTATACCATCTTCTCCACCTGTCCTCTCCTATACCACCTTCTCCACCTGTCCTCTCCTATACCATCTTCTCCACCTGTCCTCTCCTATACCACCTTCTCCACCTGTCCTCTCCTATACCATCTTCTCCACCTGTCCTCCTCCTATACCACCTTCTCCACCTGTCCTCTCCTATACCATCTTCTCCACCTGTCCTCTCCTATCCACCTTCTCCACTCCTATACCACCTTCTCCACCTGTCCTCTCCTATACCATCTTCTCCACCTGTCCACTCCTATACCACCTTCTCCACCTGTCCTCTCCTATACCATCTTCTCCACCTGTCCACTCCTATACCACCTTCTCCACCTGTCCTCTCCCATACCATCTTCTCCACCTGTCCTCTCCCATACCACCTTCTCCACCTGTCCTCTCCCATACCACCTTCTCCACCTGTCCACTCCTATACCACCTTCTCCACCTGTCCTCTCCCATACCACCTTCTCCACCTGTCCTCTCCCATACCACCTTCTCCACCTGTCCTCTCCTATACCATCTTCTCCACCTGTCCACTCCTATACCACCTTCTCCACCTGTCCTCTCCCATACCATCTTCTCCACCTGTCCTCTCCCATACCACCTTCTCCACCTGTCCTCTCCCATACCACCTTCTCCACCTGTCCACTCCTATACCACCTTCTCCACCTGTCCTCTCCCATACCATCTTCTCCACCTGTCCACTCCTATACCACCTTCTCCACCTGTCCTCTCCCATACCATCTTCTCCACCTGTCCACTCCTATACCACCTTCTCCACCTGTCCTCTCCCATACCATCTTCTCCACCTGTCCTCTCCCATACCACCTTCTCCACCTGTCCTCTCCCATACCACCTTCTCCACCTGTCCACTCCTATACCACCTTCTCCACCTGTCCTCTCCCATACCATCTTCTCCACCTGTCCACTCCTATACCACCTTCTCCACCTGTCCTCTCCCATACCATCTTCTCCACCTGTCCTCTCCCATACCACCTTCTCCACCTGTCCACTCCTATACCACCTTCTCCACCTGTCCTCTCCCATACCATCTTCTCCACCTGTCCACTCCTATACCACCTTCTCCACCTGTCCTCTCCCATACCATCTTCTCCACCTGTCCTCTCCCATACCACCTTCTCCACCTGTCCACTCCTATACCACCTTCTCCACCTGTCCTCTCCCATACCATCTTCTCCACCTGTCCTCTCCCATACCACCTTCTCCACCTGTCCTCTCCCATACCACCTTCTCCACCTGTCCACTCCTATACCACCTTCTCCACCTGTCCTCTCCCATACCACCTTCTCCACCTGTCCACTCCTATACCACCTTCTCCACCTGTCTTCTCCTATACCTTCTCCACCTGTCCTCCCACGTGTACAGTTTCCACACACAGGAGCGGTGGTCTCTGGACAGTCCAGGTGATACTTCAGCTTCCTGCCGTGGACGGTCTTGCTCCTCGCTCCATACCTTCCATCTTAAGACCCTCACCACCCATGTCCCACGACCCGTATCCCCTCACAATCCACTCTTCCCCCCCCCCCCCTCCCTTTACCATGAGTACTCAGTGGCCTCTCCATCTTAGTAAGGCACTACGGGCTCACCATAGCCCGTGCTACTTGGAACTTTGTTCCAGGTAGCAAATCTTTAACAACAAACAACAACTCTCCATCAAGTGTCGTAGTGGTCCTGAAGCACAATTTACAAAATACTTTTTATCTTTCACTTTAAAGTTTTGTCGTAATTTGTCTCTTTCAGAGGAGACAAAAAGTGGCGCATCGTCAACTTGATGAAGAGGAGTCAATTAGCGGCACAAACACGTGAAGAGCGATGTTGTGCAACCATATATTGAACTGTGTCACTCTTGGCGTCTGTCTCACTCTTGGCGTCTGTGTCACTCTTGGCGTCTGTGTCACTCTTGGCGTCTGTGTCACTCTTGGCGTCTGTGTCACTCTTGGCGTCTGTCTCACTCTTGGCGTCTGTGTCACTCTTGGCGTCTGTGTCACTCTTGGCGTCTGTCTCACTCTTGGCGTCTGTCTCACTCTTGGCGTCTGTCTCACTCTTGGCGTCTGTCTCACTCTTGGCGTCTGTCTCACTCTTGGCGTCTGTCTCACTCTTGGCGTCTGTCTCACTCTTGGCGTCTGTCTCACTCTTGGCGTCTGTCTCACTCTTGGCGTCTGTCTCACTCTTGGCGTCTGTCTCACTCTTGGCGTCTGTGTCATTCTTGGCGTCTGTGTCACTCTTGGCGTCTGTCTCACTCTTGGCGTCTGTGTCACTCTTGGCGTCTGTGTCACTCTTGGCGTCTGTCTCACTCTTGGCGTCTGTCTCACTCTTGGCGTCTGTCTCACTCTTGGCGTCTGTGTCATTCTTGGCGTCTGTGTCACTCTTGGCGTCTGTGTCACTCTTGGCGTCTGTGTCACTCTTGGCGTCTGTCTCACTCTTGGCGTCTGTGTCACTCTTGGCGTCTGTCTCACTCTTGGCGTCTCACTCTTGGTGTCTGTGTCACTCTTGGCGTCTGTGTCACTCTTGGTGTCTGTGTCACTCTTGGCGTCTGTCTCACTCTTGGCGTCTGTCTCACTCTTGGCGTCTGTCTCACTCTTGGCGTCTGTGTCACTCTTGGCGTCTGTGTCACTCTTGGCGTCTGTGTTACTTGTGTCTGTGTCACCTGCGTGGCTGTGTCACCTGTGTGGCTGTGTCACCTGCGTGGCTGTGTCACCTGTGTTTCTGCGTCACTAGTGTGTCTTTGTCAAGTGAGTCTTAGTATTTGTGTTACCTAAGTCTGAATTTCTGTCACGGGGGTCTGAATGTTTATGTCACGGGAGTGTGAGTGACTGTCACGTGAGTGTGTCTGTATGTCTTGAGTGTTAGTGTATGTGTCACATGAGTCTGAATGTCTCATGTGACAAAGGGAAGGGAACTATCAGGAGAAAGCCATTACGATAATATAGCACTTGGAAGGGGTCATGATTAGGATTTGGGATGGGACGGGGGCAAGGAATGGTGCCCAACCACTTGTACAGTCGGGGATTGAACGCCGACGTGCATGAAGCGAGACCGTCGCTCTACTGTCCAGCCCAAGTGGTTGAGGATGAGTAAAGTTTCAAGGATCAATACCCCTGATGCCCGGCATAAGACCTGGTCTTCTAACTGACGGTATGTTCAACCAGGCTGTTAGACGCCGCTGCTCGCAGCCGAAGACGCGTAAGTGTTTGTCAAGTTCATTCTCGAAAACCATAAGAGGTCGGCTAGTTACGCCCCTCTTATATGGAGGGAGGGCGGGGGGGGGGCGGTGTTGAAGTGTCTTGGGCCCTTAATGTTGGTCGATCTGTCTCTTAAGACTACTTATTGTATCTTAACTATTCAATGGGTCTTTTTCTTTACTTAGTTGATCACGTCTTCTGGCGTCGTAATGAATTATTTAAGTCTTTACATTTGGAACGAGTTCTTCATAATATTTTCCTGTTGTAACTTTACGAGATAAAATTTTGTGGAATAATGGAAATCGATTTTTGAATCGAAATCGCTGTTAAGTTTCGTTATCAGCCGGAGAAGCGCATTATTGGAGATATTCAATCGGTAACAGGTACCACGGAGCTTTGTGGAATTGGGCCTTAGGCCTATTATCCTCTGGATGGTTATTGAGGCCACGCAAGTGCTTATTGGCCAACCATCTTGTATACTCTAACCCTGAACACTGTTCAGAAGAAGAGTATACTCTCTATGTATATATAACGAGGACCTGGGTATACCTCACATGGTATACATCTCTTGAGAAGTATAACTTCATCGAGTGACACTTTCGTTATGCAACAGCAGTGATGGAGCGAGTCACTGTACATTTGCCTTAGAAACTTTGAATTTAGATAATGTGTACACACATAAACCAGGGGCCAGATTCACGAAGCAGTTACGCAAGCACTTACGAGCGTGTACATCTTTCCTCAATCTTTGACGGCTTTGGTTACATTTAATAATCAGTAATTATTATTATTGTTATAAACAGACTCCTGATGCTTCGGTGCCTAACTGTTTAATAATTCCCGTTTCAATAAAAATAATTTAATAAAAATAATTTAATAAAAATAATTTAATAAAAATAATTTAATAATAATTTTAATACTTATTTAATTTTATTAATAAATAATTAATAAAGTGATTTACAAAATAATAATAAAATAAGTTTAATTAAAAAGTCCCTCCAGCTTGGTCTTGACACGCTCTCTGACCTCTCAGTACTGGCAGGATAGTGACCATATTGCCCTGTCATGATTCAGCTCCTGCTCTCCAACTGACACTAATTAAGACGTCCTCTCGTCCACAACGGACAGAAAAAGACGTATTTAAAAAATCGAACCTGAACTAACGTAACAAAATCTAGCCTACCCTGCCCTAACTTACCTGACTCTAACCTAATCTAACTTAACCTACCCTAACCTAACTTACCTTACCTTACTCTAACCTAACCTACTGACCACACATGGAAGGTGTGAATGGTTGAGAGCCGCAATGATTTACAGTATACCACTTTATTCATTCGTTCGGGATTTTAACGTCAAAATTCAGTGTATTGCTTGAGTGTCGGAAATCCGACACATATGTTAACATACTATAGTTATACATTAAGAATTTATAGAAAATGGGAGATTCTGTGACATCATAACAAGACCTCTATTCACCCACGTATTTATTAAACTCCAATTATTCTTTTACTCCACAGTCTAGTGTTTAAACTTAATAAAATAGTATTCACTAGGACTGTATAAATATACCATACACCAGAAAATATAGCTTGCTTCCCTTGCTATTGTTAAATAAACTTAGTCCTTAAGACAGAGTATTGGAACATTGCTTGGGCAGGAAGCAGGGCGAGTCACGCTCTCAAACACATACAGAGCCGATTGTCAACAAACTGAAGGCTTCTCGCGACATGAACAACTCGTCAAAAACTTCCAAAATATGAGTCAACCAACCGAGAAACTGCCATTGTGACCTCTACAGCAAAGAGAAGAGCTGAGTATCCGTCTTACCAATTATCTATAACATGTTCTTGGCCATTTACTGTTTAGATAGGTCTGGCGGTTATGCAGTGAGCGAAAAGCTCAATCTCAGTGAGTCTAGCTCTTTGCTACACACACAAATATTTCATGTCACACCTGTACTGTATATATTAATAGAACCATTATTAAGCCCTAACTATTTTACAGGTAAGTTTGTGACTTGGAGACATCATTGTGCTGGCCAACATAAACTGTGATGTTTCTTGCTACCCAAAGCTGTACGCAGACGTCATTACAAGGCCCCTGGACCACATGTAGCCACACCCTAATCTGATGGAGGAACCATCACACACAGTCTAATCAAGCCATACCTACAGTATCAGCTTAGACCTTACACTTCCTTTATTAACACAGTAGATAACAGCAATAATAATAATAGTTGTTTAGGCCACCAAATGTGATATAATTTATATTCACTTTAGAGGTAAATGTTTATAGCTTATTAAATAACCACCCATTGTGGTACAAGCTGTAAACATCCCTCCAACTATGTGCTGATCAATTCTGTTAGGCTGAATCAAATATACAGTTCACTTAGGTTTTAGGTTTGATTCTAAGCGGACTTTGATTCTAAGTCCTCTTAGAATCATAATCATAAATATTGAAGTGATAAAAATAAAAAATAAATATTCACAAAGAATAAAAAGAAATAATTGCCTGCTAGAATTTTCCAACAGTGAGAGTTCTGGTCACATGTACCAAGATTAAGCCTTTATTGCATGCTCAACTTTTCCTCACCATGCCATGTTCTCCCAGACAGTCTTCACAATACTATACCTGGAGCGCGTTCTGAATGTTCTTCTATTCTTCGAGCCCGGCCTGAGGCCAGGCTTGATTTGTGATAACTTGCTCCAACAGGCTGTTGCTTGGAGCGGCCGCAGGCCAACATGTCCACTACAGCCTGGTTGGCCCGGCACTCCTGGCAAGAACTTATCTAATTACCTTTTGAATATATCCACCTTTGTTCCAGCAATATTTATAATGTTTGCAGGGAGGGTGTTGAACAGCTGAGGATCTCTGAAGTTCAGACAGTGCTCTCGTATTGTGCCTATGGCACCTCTACTCTTCACTGGTTCTATTCTGCATTTCCTTCCGTGTCTTTCCCTCCAGTATGTTGTTATTCTACTGTGCAAATTTGGTGCCTGGCCTTCAAGTATCTTCCATGCATATATTATTTGGTACCTTTCTCGTCTCCTTTCCAAAGAGTACATTTTGAGAGCTTTGAGACGGTCCCAATAATTTAGATGTTTTATCGTTTCTATGCGTGCCGTATATGTTTTTGAAATTTGAATATAAATTTTCCACTAATTCAGATAACTTTCCTGCTCTGAAAGGGAAAGTGAGTACCGAGCAATACTCAAAACAGGACAGCATCAGTGATTTAAATAGTATTAACATTGCTGTGGGGTCTCTGGATTTCAATGTTCTCATAATTCATCCAATCATTTTCCTGCCCGCCGACATATTTGCTCGGTTATGTTCACTAAATGTCAGGTCGTCAGGTATCATAATTCCCAGATCTTTTATATGCTGCTTTGCTTGTATGATTGTGTCATGTACCCTGTGTTTCGATTAGCTTTCTCGTTTCCACTTTACATAAGTACCTGGAACTTGTCACCATTTAACATCATGATATTTTCAGTTGCCCAATCGAAGACCTTATTAATATCTCCCTGCAGTTTTTCAATGTCTTCTACATATAACACTTTCATACTGATTTTTTAATCATCTGCAAAGGATTACACAAAGCTGTGACAAGTATTATTGTCTATATCTGAGATAATAATGAGTAATAGCAATGGTGCCATTACTGTGCCCTTGGGGATAGAGATTTTTACTGCACTTGGGCTTGATCTTATTTGATTGACCGTCGCTCTCTGCATTCTGTTTGACAAAGTTGAAAATCCACCGCCCCACTTTACCCGTTATTCCCATTTATCTCATTTTATGTGCAATCACTCCATGGTAACATTTGTTCACAGCTATGTTCTTGCTGACAGTGTTCACAATGCCATGTTCTCCCTGACAGTGTTCACAGCTATGTTCTCGCTGACAGTGTTCACAATGCCATGTTCTCGTTGACAGTGTTTACATAAATTATTTACCGAGAACTTCAATATTAGGCAACATTAAAAGGACAAATTTCATATAACCAAAATTATTATTCACAAAAAAGCTTGGGGTATTAACGCTTCTGGAAGAGTTTCCTTCATTCAAATGAAAGAGGTTCCTTTCATTCACAAGAAAGAAGTTCCTTCATTTACATAAAATAGTAAATGTGAATGATTTTATTCAAGGTTTTGTATAAATTCAAAATATACCTTCATTCACATAAAATAGGTTCCCTCCTTCACATAAGAGATTCCTTTAGTCGCATGTTAAACGAAGATAATTTGCACTTAAATGCTCCCAAACAAACTATAAATTTCCCAGAGTTTACCGTTCTGGCAAAATCGTTTTCTCTCGTGACGCTAATTACGCCCTTAATCACTCTGCCTCATTACAGGCTATCATTAGTCGTGGAGATCCCCTGCAGCAATTGATGTCTTGGTCATAGGGGAGGGGTGGGGAGGGGATTAAGAGGTGATTATACTCAGGGTTCGACGCCCGGTACTGAGTAAGTGTTCCAGGTTGAGGAAAAATATCGCAGCTTGATTAGTCGTTTATTCAACCTTTGGACACGAGAAGGTTCGAGACGCTTTCTGCTGATATATATCAAATCATATTTACATTTTCTTAAAAATTTTGGGACATGTGCTTTTAATTTTTAAATGTCTTTTATAAAAGTGATTGGATTGTTCATGAAATTTTTCCATATAAATTTTATGGGTTAATTTTTTAATAATATTAACATTATATATTATATATAGCTTTAACCAGAATTGTGTCAAAATACTAATCTGTTGCACACAATAATACTTAAACAAAAAAACTTATAGATCTGACTTACATGCATACGTGCCACCTCTTGGGTGGCGAAATCTTCAATCAATCTTGTAGATCTGAGGCAAAGTGAAGTCGACACCAGTAATTCCATCTACCATCAAACTATCATGCAAGAAGAGCCACACATCTATGGACCATCTAATACAATCATCAGACGTCTAGATGTTACTACTGCTCGGCTTAGAGTCTGTTACAAGTATCTATGGGAATTGTTATTATCTGACCAAATGTAAACTGTGTCAACAAAATTAATCGCACACCCTCCGTGATGGAGGGTGTGCGATTAATTCCGCACTCCATCACACTATGTGATGGAGTGCGGAAAAATATACGTGAATTCAGAGACAATTTTATAACAAATGTTCCAGAGTTGTGTAAATATTAAATTCAAAATGATCTGCTACCAGAAATATTAGCCAAATATTTCCAGTTCGCTAACTGATTGTAACCTATCCACCGCTGCCCACTGGATGGGGAGGGGGTTTGTGCGGGACAAACATATCACTTGTGACACTAACACTCCACATATGTCTGTTGCTTATTAATTTAGAAACTGTTCTCGTTGTCGGTCTCGAGCCCATTGTTGATGTGACGATGTACATGGAATTTTGTAAGTAGCTCATCAAGAGCTACTTACAAGTTTTGCTTGTAAGTAGTAACAAGTTTGCTTGTAAGCAAACTTACAGGACAGGAAGCCGGCGGCTTGTCGAAGGTTCCCCCCCCCCATTTGTCCTTTTTTTTTTTCTTAAGTAAAGAGGAATGAGAGGCATAGGTGAAGGGAAGTATAGAAGTGGGAAATACAGTGAGAGGTATGAGAGCAGGCGGGTTGTCCGCCTTGGCGCCATTTGTCCTGATGATCTTCTTCAGTTTAACTATAAAATTTAACATTTTATCTTTGGCATTTACAGCTTCGGCGGGCAGGAACCGCCTACCCGCCGAAGTTCGTCGAAGTCATTGCCAAATTGAATGGCAATGATAAAATATGTTGAAAACAGAGATGCATTTTATTTACCCTAATATACTAATATAGAGCACGAATATCACACTCATGAGTCTTAGTTTATTGTGCACCCCATACTCATCCTGTGAGACATGTTTATTGTTAACCCTATACTCATCCTGTGAGTCATAGTTTATTATGCACCCCATACTCATCCCGTGAGACAGTTTATTGTGCACACTGTACTCATCCTGTGAGACATAGTTTATTGTGCACCCCATACTCATCCCTATGAGACAGTTTATTGTGCA